CGGGCTGATGCAATGGAGCCGCTTGCTGCGCTCCGCCGGCCGCAGCCCCGGCGCGCACCGGGATGGAGATAAGGATGGAGATAGGGAGGAGGACGGTGGTGGGAAGGAGATGGGGATGGCGGTGGGGACAGGGATGAGGGTGGCGGGGCTGAGATGTCGATGGGGGCGAGGACGGGGCTGTGGTCCCCGCTCCAGCGGCCTCCACGCCGGCAGGGCTCTGCAGCGGGGCGGAGGGAGCAGCCGYGGGTGCCCGGGGGACTTGGGGGGCTGCACTTTGCCTTGGGACACCCCCAAGCCGTCGAGGGCAGGTGTGTGACAACCGTCACCAGGGCCGCTGACACCCAGGGGTCCCCAGGGCCGCCCATCATGGCCAGCCCCGCGTGTCCCCCGCTCCCAGCCACCCTGCTAGGCCTCGCTGGGCAYCCAGGCCACCCGGCACCGTGCGGCCCTGGCAGCGCTGGCCCAGCGGCGGGTGCAACGCCTGCATCTCAGCCCCCCTCTCCCCATGCTCCGTCCGGGGCCCTCCCTGGGGCGCACCAGGGACCCTGGCCCTGCTGGCACCCAGGGGTGCCAAAAGGCATTGCAAGGAGGCCGTGTGGGGCAGGGGATCCCCATGGCCGGAGTCTTCCTGCAGTGGCACCTGCGGGGCGGCCCCAGGCGGCCTGTCCCAGCCTCCCGCTCCCTGCTGCCGCGCGCCGCTCAGGTAATTAAAATCCAGCGYGGAGACGCAGGAAACCGCAGGCGCTGGAGCGAGGCTGCCGGCGAGGCTGTGCCTCCGCGCCCCACACGCCCYGTGTGCCGCCGAGCCGGGCTGCGGGGGTCCTGCTGCCTCCCATGGCGGGAGTGTCCACCGGGATGCTCCACCGGGATGCTCCAGCAGGATGCTCCATGGGGATGCTCCACGGGAATGCTCCAGCGGGATGCAGGCACCGGCTCCCGCCACACCCGCCTCCATTGTGGGAGCCGACGGAGGCTGCCTGTGCCCGGCACCGCTGTGGCCCGGYACCCCCCATGGCCCGGCCCCCCGCCCCGCACGTTTTATTCCGCGCTGCTTTGGGGTTATTTTTCCCAGGAGCTCGGAGCGGGAGCAGGGGGAGGCGGGAGGGAGGGCAGCCCCAGCGCTGGAGGCGGCTCCGGCCCCGCTTGCTCCGGAGCCGGACACCTCCGYGCCCCCCGGCAGGGGGGCTTCTCCCGTCGCCGGAGCCGCACGCGTCCCCACTGCCGTTGGCACGTGAGCGGAGCGGCTGCCGCGCTGGGCTCTGCCCRCCCAGGGCACCCGGCGGCTGCGGCGCCCCAGGGTGCTGCGGTGGCGCTGGGGACGAGCTGGGGGTGCTGGCGGGGGGCTCTGGGGAAGGGGGACAGGGCCAGTCTGGCCTGAGCACCCCCACCTGCATGCAGGGCCTCTGGGAATACCAGAGCTGGGATCAGCCCTTGTCCCCCCTGGAGCCGCATGGGTGCTGGGGGTGCGCGTGTCGCTGGGTGTCCCCTCGAGGGGTCTGCCCGCCTTCTGCGGGGGTCTGGGCGCCCGCTGCAGGGACAGGAGCAGCAGGAGGACAYGGGATGGAGCCCAGTGTGCCGGGACGCCCTGGCCGTGCCCCACGGCACCCGGCAGGTAGCAGGGTGGCCCCGAGGTGCCGGCAAGGGGCTCATCCAGCAACGGGCTCATCCTGCCCCATCCTGCCCCATCCTGACCAAGGGGTCCGGCAGCATCGTGCCTGGGCACATCCGGGCGCTGGGCTGTGCCGCACGCCACAGCCGGCACATGCGGAGCCGGCACATGCAGAGCTGGGGCTCAAGGTGGCCGAGCCGGGGTCCCCCATGACCCCGTCCCCATGGCAAGGGGCCACAGCCCCGGGAAGGGCAGTGCCAGGGGCCTGGGCTGCCCTCCGGGCCGGGAGCACCAAGCTGAGCCCCGGCTGGGGAAACTGGGTCGCGCCGCGTCCCCTGGGCTCGGCTGCGGCACTGGGGCCTCGTCCCGCTCAGCACCGGCTTGGCCCACGTCTCCTTGTGCCCCGGGAGCCCTGCGGAGCCCGCGGTGCCGTCCCCCAGCTGGGGGGCATTTGCTTTAATTAGAACCGTTTTCATTAGYGCAATTAAGCCGGAGCGGGCGCTTGGAGAGCGCTTTCGCAGCGCGGTGCTCCCCGCAAGCCGCAGCGGCTGCCGGGCTCTGGCGGCAGCACCGCATGGGCACGCGGTGTGGGGCAGTGCCAGGCGGGATCCCTCGCCGACCCACAGCCAGGTGGGACATGGGGACACCAGGGGACCCCCCCAGCATGGGCAGCGCTGTAGCAATGGCAAGGAGCACCCTGGCCCCAGCTTGCAAACCAGGGACGGGGGATCAGCCTGTGCCGGGTGCTGTGAGGGGCCGTGGGGGCCTCCCTCCCTGGGCTCCGGTCCTGCTGTGCCAGCCCCGAGGCTGGCACGTCCAGCTGGGGGGGTATCGTGGGGCCAGGCTGTGGGGCAGGGTGGGGGGCACCTTGCGACCCTCCTACGAGGGCTCTCTGCCCRCCCAGCCCAGCCCTGGTGCCATCCCAGACCCCTCTGCTTGCAGGGTGTCAGCAGGGCCCTTCGGCTCCCGCATCCTCCTGCATCCCCCGGGATACCCCYGTGCTGCTCCGTGGGGCTCCCCCGCCGCAGGGCTGGGGGCTCGGAGCGCCGCTCCCGCGGGCAGCGCCAGAGGGGAGGGATTCCTCGGGGCTGGCTCGGAGCCCGGCTCCCAGCTCGGTGCAAACGAGCGCGGGCGCAGGGAGCGCGCGGCTCCCGCGGGGCCGGGGATCCTCGGAGCAGCCGCGGCTCCCGCAGCGCCCGCCGCCCCCGCGCCGGCAGCAGGCAGGGCACACGTGCGCGCCGGCTCCGCAGCGCCCGCCGCGCGGGGGGGCCGCCGCCGCTGCCTGGCAACGGCCCCCCCGAAATGCAGGAGCTGAGCGCTGCACGGGAAGGGGGGGCCCATGTGCCCGCTGCAAGGAGGGGATGGGCCCTGGAGTGTAAGGCATGGGGGGCAACGCATGGGGTGCAAGGCATGGGGTGCAATATATGAGGTGCAGTGCACAGGGTGCAGTGCATGGGGTGCAACATACAGGGTGCAATGCACAGGGAGCAATCCAAGGGATGCAACACACAGGGTGCAATGCATGGAGTGCACTGCACAGGATGCAATCTGCGGGGTGCAGTGCACGAGATGCAACACATGGGGTGCAGTGCACGGGGTGCAGTGCACGGGGTGCAATACGTGGTGTGCAATGCACAGGGTGCAGTCCACAGAGTGCAATGCACGGGGTGCAATGCAGCTGCCTGGCTTTGCCCCCCGCTTCCTGAGCCCCCGCTGCCCCCGTTCCCCGTCAGGCCGACATCGAGCAGCTGGACCCGCGCGGGCGCACGCCGCTGCACCTGGCCACCACCCTGGGCCACCTCGAGTGCGCCCGCGTGCTGCTCAAGCATGGAGCTGACGTGGGCAAGGAGAACCGCAGTGGCTGGACAGGTGAGCAGGGCCCCCACAAAACATGGGGGACCCCCAGGCACAGAGGCTTGTGGTGGCCTGGCTCAGCCGTGCTCAGCACTGGCACCGCGCTGCCCGCAGTGCTGCAGGAGGCTGTGAGCACCCGCGACCTGGAGCTGGTGCAGCTGGTGCTGCGCTACCGCGACTACCAGAGAGCCATCAAGCGCCTGGCCGGCATCCCCATCCTGCTGGAGAAGCTGCGCAAGGTGGGTGTCCCCGTCCCGCCAGCGTCTCGGGGGGCCCCCGGGGCTGCCCTGACACCCCTGTGCTCCCCGCAGGCCCAGGACTTCTATGTGGAGATGAAATGGGAGTTCACGAGCTGGGGTAAGCTGGGAGCTTCCCTGGAGCCTTCCCTGCTGCGAYGTTACCTCTGTGCCCAGCGCCCGTCCCTGTCCCTCCCGTCACCCTGCTGCCCCGGCTGGGCTATGGCCCTGTCTCCGCAGTGCCCCTGGTGTCCAAGATCTGCCCCAGCGACACGTACAAGGTGTGGAAGAGCGGCCAGAACCTGCGCGTGGACACCACGCTGCTGGGCTTCGACCACATGACGTGGCAGCGGGGCAACCGCAGCTTCGTGTTCCGCGGCCAAGGTGAGCGGGGCCGGGGCGCAGCCCCCCGTGCGCCGCCCCGCAGACACCGGCCTAACCTAACCCTAACGCTAACCCTGAGCGCGGCCGCCCCCGCAGACACCAGCGCGGTGGTGATGGAGATCGACCACGACCGGCGCGTGGTGTATTCGGAGACGCTGGCGCTGGCCAGCCACGACCAGGAGGTGCTGCTGGCTGCTGTGCAGCCCACCGAGGAGCAGGTGATGGGGCGGCTCACGGCGCCCGTCGTCACCACCCAGCTCGACACCAAGAACATCGCCTTCGAGAGGTGCGACCCGCCGCGCGTGGTGCGCGGGTGGCCCCGTGGGGCGTCCCAACAYGGCGCCAGCGGGACCCTCCAGCTCATCGGCTGCCTTTGCGTCGCCCTCTCCCAGGAACAAGTCCGGCATCCTGGGCTGGAGGAGCGAGAAGACGGAGATGGTGAACGGGTATGAGGCCAAGGTGAGGGGCAGAGATGGGCCCACGCGGTGCCGGGGGTCCCCTGGGGGACGTAGCGGCCTCCAGCCCCGCTCCTCCCACGGCTCCCAGGTCTACGGTGCGTCCAACGTGGAGCTCATCACGCGGACGCGGACCGAGCACCTCTCGGACCAGCACAAGGGCAAGAGCAAAGGTGGGGATGTGCGGGGGGCCGAGGGGCCGCCCGGGCCCGCGGCGGCTCCGCGGGGTCACCACGCGTCCCCCGCAGGCAGCAAGACCCCGCTGCAGTCCTTCCTGGGCATCGCCGAGCAGCACGTGGGGCCCAACAACGGGGTGAGCGCGCCGGGGGACACRTGGGTGCTGGGGGGACGCRTGGGCACCACGGGGGCTCTGCAGGTGCTGAGGGGGCTCTGCGGGTGCTGAGGGGGCTCTGTGGATGCCGTGGGGTCTCTGTGGGCGCTGAGGGGGACGCTGGGTGCCGCAAGGGCTCTGTGGGTGCCAGGGGGATGTGTGGGCACTGCAAGGGCTCTGCGGGCACCGCGAGGGCTCTGCGGGCGCCGGGGGGGACRCGTGGGCACCACGGGGGCTCTGTGGGTGCCACGGAGTCTCTGCGGCTGCACCCATGCCGACGGCGCCTCGCGTCCCCACAGACACTCATCACGCAGACGCTGAGCCACGCCAACCCCACGGCCATCACGCCCGAGGAGTACTTCAACCCCAACTTCGAGCTGGGCAACCGCGACATGGGGCGGCCCATGGAGCTCACCACCAAGACGCAGAAGTGAGGGGGCGCTGGGGCCGGTGGGGGCGCCCTGGCCGGCGGCCGTGTCCAGCCTGGCGCACCGCCCCGCCGTGCAGGTTCAAGGCGAAGCTGTGGCTGTGCGAGGACCACCCGCTGTCCCTGTGCGAGCAGGTCGCGCCCATCATCGACCTCATGGCAATAAGCAACGCGCTCTTCGCCAAGCTGCGCGACTTCATCACGCTGCGCCTCCCGCCCGGCTTCCCCGTCAAGATCGGTGCGGACACCCCCGCGTCCCCGTTCTGGGGTCCCCCGAGCCCGGGCGCCCCCCTGCAGCCGTCTCCCCTTGCTCGTTCCATTCCTTTGTGCGCAGAAATCCCCATCTTCCACATCCTCAACGCGCGCATCACCTTCGGCAACCTCAACGGGTGCGACGAGCCCGTGAGCTCTCTGCGCCACAGCCCCAGCAGCGAGGCGCCCTCGCCCAGCAGCGACTCCTCCAGCGTCAGCAGCTCCAGCTCCCTGAGTACGTGGGGACGGGGGGGTCCCCAGGCGGGGCCGGGGGGGCGATGGTGGCGGGGGGCTCCATGCGGGGTCTCGCCGCAGCCTCGTGCCGGCCGTGCGAGATGGACCCGTCGCTGTTCGAGGTGCCGCGGGGCTACAGCGTGGTGGGCAGCCAGCAGGACGCCCTGCGGGAGGACGACGACGACCTGCTGCAGTTCGCCATCCAGCAGAGCCTGCTCGAGGCCGGCAGCGAGTACGACCAGGTGGGGCCACCACGTCCCTCCTATCCCCGCCGGGGCTGGGTGGCAGCGCCGTCCTGCCGCGGTGGCAACAGAGCCGTCAGGGCCCGAGCTGCGGGAAAAGGGGCGGCCTGGGGACAAGGGCAGCCGGAGAAAATGGGTGGCCGTGGGAAAACTGGTGCAACGTGGAGATGGGAGATGCGGGATAACGGCTGTGGGATAACAGGTAGCACAGGGAAACGGGTGACATGGGATAAGGGGTGGCACAGATAAGGGGTAGCAATGGGATAAGGGGTGGCACAGGGAAATGGGTGATGTGGGACAATGGGTAACATGGATAACGGGTAGCTATGGGATAAGGGGTGGCACGGGGAAATGGGTGATGTGGGATAACAAGTGGCACGGGCAAATGGGTGGCAATGGGACAATGCGTGGCACAGGGAAATGGGTGACATGAGATAATGGGTGGCAATGGGACAATGAGTGGCACAAGGTAATGGATGACACGGGATAAGGGGTGGCACAGGGAAATGGGTGATGTGGGATAATGGGTGACACGGGATAATGGGTAGCAATGGGACAATGGGTAGCTCAAGGTAATGGGTGACATGGGATAACAAGTGGCACGGGCAAACGGGCGGCCAGGGGATAACGGGTGACAGGGGATAACGGGTGGCCATAGGATCCCGGGTACCGGGGCAAACGGGTGCCGTGGGCTAAGGGCGCCGCGGTGCCGCGCAGGTGACCATCTGGGAGGCGCTGACCAACAGCAAGCCGGGCACGCACCCGCTGTCGCACGAGGGCCGGCGCGCAGACAGGTGGGTAAGGCCTGGCCGGTGGCGCGGGCGGGCGCCGCGGGGGCTCGCGCCCACGCGCCCGGCCCTGCAGGACGCCCCAGCGCGCGGCGCCGCCGCGGCCCGCGGCGCCCAGCTACGCGGAGCAGCTGCGTCTCGCCATGGCGCTGTCGGCGCGCGAGCAGGAGGAGGCCGAGCGCCGCACGCGCCGCGAGGAGGAGGAGCTGCAGCGCATCCTGCGCCTCTCGCTCACCGACAAGTGACKCCGCCGCCGCCGCCCTGAGGCACCGGGGACCCCGAGGAGACGGTGCCGGCGGCGCGGAGCCGCCGAGCGCGGCCGGGGGGACGCTCTCCAAACGGTGCAGAGCCCAACTGGGGGGGGCAGGATGGGGCCCTGGGGTGGGGGACGGTCC